GGTCAATCGTTGTATTATCATTAACCTATCATTATCCTCTTTCAAAAGTATATTCCATCCTTGCCTAAGTTACATTCATTCTCTTATTCAATCCTAATCAATCAGTTATTTTATTGCTATGATCACATATTTAACTTCTTACTCTTCTCTCTATCTATTCATATAATAAATTCTAAATCTTATAATAGTCTTTTCCTGCTTCTCTTTTAAAATTCTGTTTGAAGACAGGCAGGTTCTCTTCTCTTGCAGATTTACAAGTTGATGGGCTTTGGGGTGGAGGTCCCGCTTCTCTTCCCTGGTTTAGGTGACTTCCCTCCCCCCTTTCTTTCCTTAAGGACTTGGTTCCTTCTTTTAAATAACTCCCTGAAGAGATCTTTTAGAGAAAAGATCCCTGGCTTTTGTCCACTCACATGCCTGCTTCCTCTTTAGGTCAGGCAGCTTCCGCCTAGTCTCACAGGGCCCAACCTGTTTCTCTCCTGTGGGAAGGGTGGAAGTGTGAACTTGAGAGTCAGGGGAGGCTAGAAGTGTTCGGAAACTGAGGCACTGGAGACTAAAACATACGATGAACGGTTACAGGAACTGGGCCTGGCTAGTCTAGTGAAGAGAAGGACCAGGGGAGACAGGATAGCGGCCTTCCAATATTTGAGGGGCTGCCACAGAGAGGAAGGAGTGAAGCTATTTTCTAAAGCGCCTGTAGGCCAGACAAGGAATAATGGATGGAAACTGAACAAGGAGAGATTTAACCTGGAAATAAGGAGAAACTTTCTGACAGAACAATCAACCAATGGAACAGAAGTTGCCTTCAGAAGTTGTGGGAGCTTCATCACTTGAGGCTTTCAAGAAGAGATTGGACTCTCATCTGTCAGAAATGGTGTAGGGTCTCCCACTTGGGTGGGGAGGGTGGACTAGATGACCTACAAGGTCCCTTCCAACTCTGATGATCTGTTATTATCTGTCTTTTGTCCCCCTACAGAACGCCAGAAAAAGCATTTTGGCCATCGACTGTAGGTTTTTCCCTTCAGGGATCGTCTTGTCTCAGTTTGGAGAGATTCCGGCTCGTCCATTGCCGCACAAATTCCATGGCCGACGGAGAGGTGCCCCGGACGGGATTCAGCCTGCAGTTGCAAGCCGCTTTGGAGAAGTGGATGCAGCCGGGGTTCAAGAGGCAGGATCTGGGCCGAGCGGCTTCCAAATCAGGCGAGGAGTTGGAAGGAGACCGGAAGAGCTGCAGAGGGCCGGAGGGAGCGGAGCAACTGGTCAAACAGGAACCAGACCTGGTCTCTCAGCAGTGGGAAGCCCAGTGGCAGGAATTCCTGAAGATGTCTGAATCCCAGCAGCCCTGGGGTTTTGTGTCCCTGGTCCAGGAGGAGCCGCCCCCCTGGGATGACGCCAAGGCCTTCCTGGCTTCCTTCGAGCAGGTAGCCGAGGCCTGCCAGTGGCCCAGGGAGGAGTGGGCGTCCCACCTGTTGCCCGCCCTCCGAGGAGAAGCCGAGCGTGCCTATTGCAACCTTGGAAGCGCCGAGCGAGAGGATTATGGGAAAGTGAAGGCGGCCATTTTGCACAGGGACGCCCTCGGCCGCGAGAAGCTGCGCCAGCACTTCCGCCGCTTCTGCTACCAGGAGGCCGAGGGCCCGCGGGGGGCGTACAGCCGGCTGCAGGAGCTTTGCCATCAATGGCTGAAGGTGGAGCACCATTCCAAGGAGCAGATCCTGGAACTGTTGATCCTGGAGCAATTTTTGGCCATCCTGCCGCCCGAGATCCAGAGCTGGGTCCGTGGAAACAGCCCCGAGACTTGCATCCAGGCGGTGTCTCTGGCTGAGGACTTTCTGCAAATGCAAGCGGAAGGTCACCAGCATCAAGAACAGGAGGTAAGTCGACCTCCTTTGCAGTATTATGACCCAGACTGAACCAGAATCACGAAACAGACACCTTGTCCTGAAAAAAACAAAAACCCTTTTAATTTGGTTAATGTGAATTCCTGGCATTCACACACCCAGAAAAGTCCCGGCAATAATCCTGCAAGGACTGCCTTATCAGTCCTTGGATAGTTGCCAGGCCGAGAGCTTCCAGTCGCAACGCTGTAAATTAATTCCTGACAAGGAGTCTCCGAGGCACAAACCACGATAAGCCAATCTTCATAATAATAAGTGAACTAATTGTCTCCTGCAACCACCATTCCCCTTTTGCTTCTATTTATTCCCCAGGGAGGGGTCATTCAGCGTCCACGTAGGCCTTTCTTTCTTAGTTGGCCTCTGTTCCTTAGTTGTTCCCTTCTCCTGACAGCTCGGCGCATACGCCCATCTGGAATAGGCTCCAGCTGTTCTTCTTCCACACTTATCTCCGACTCCATAGGCAGCTGGGAAATGTCGGATGGCCCTGGCTTCATCTCTTGTGTCTGACGCAGAACACCCATTAGAGCAGGGGTAGTCAACCTTTTTATACCTACCACCCACTTTTGTATCTCTGTTAGTAGTAAAAATTTTCTGTAACCGCCCACCGGTTCCACAGTAATGGTGATTTATAAAGTAGGGGACAAAACCCCTACCGCCCACCATGAAAGCTGGAACACCCACTAGTGGGCTGTAGGGACCAGGTTGATTACCACTACATTAGAGCCTTCCCCAGACACCAGGACTGGCCAGAGTTCCTCCCCAACCTCCTCACTGTCTGAGTCTGCCGCTGGTAGCTGGTGGGGCACAACACCAGGTGTGTGACACAAGAGATACGAGTCAATGTTCAGGACTGGCAGCTGTGCCCTCAAAAGAACTCAGGGCCTGGCAGAACGCCGAGTCCAGAACCTGCCATTACCTAAAGTGGTTCCAGGGTATGCCAGCCCTTCAACTTAATCTAGACCAGAAGTCTCCAACCTTAGCAACTTGAAGACCTCTCTTCCCCATCTCTCTCCCTGCCTTGTTGAAACAGATGTTTTCTCCTGTTTCCAGGTGCTCAAGGAAGTGAGGGATGCTGCAGAGGATTGTGGGAAGGGACCACTGTTCAGGGAGGCTAATCATGAGGGGAACTCTGGAGATGCCGGTGAGTGATACAAACGGACGAGTTAAAGCCAGTTGGTCGAATACTTGGATGCGGTGCAGTTCCTTTGGGGGTGGATATTTTAATTCCATCCCTTTCTTTCTTCAGCTCCCTTCCCATTACTATCCACCTGCCAAACGGCTCCAAAACATTTTCTTTAGATTTCTACGAGCTGATCACCCGGCATTGTCCGGGTATTTATTTATCCTAAACCTTGTATTAGATAGGAAAAGCCTTGATTTCAGCAATCCGGAAGAAACGTCATTTCTAATGTTGGATTTTCCCCGTTACCAGAGAGAGCCCCCTTGTAGAGTACTGTGAAGCCGTTACCATGGCAACTCCACAGCGCTGTACAGTAGAAGCCATTTTAAAGCACAACTGGCTGTATCTTAACAGACCACAAGAACACAGACAACCCCCGAGGAGTGTTAGGGGTGTCTTACCCCCACAGTATTTTTTTTCAGAGATTAATCAGTGTGCCAAATTTGGTTGAAATTGCTCGAGGCGTTCCAGAGATATGCTGAAAAACACACATACACACACACTTTTATATAGAGAGATTTGGGATTATTATTATTATTTTTTCATTTCTCCCATAGGTGAAGGGAGTAGAGGCATTGACAAAATGGAGAAATACACGCTGGAGAATTCTGAGGCCGAAACATCACACGAGTTGCTCAGCGGGAGAATGGAAGAGCAGGCAGCTCAGTTCGATGAGCAGGAAAACCTTTCCCAAAGCCAAGATAGACTCATTTGGCCCCAGAAATTTCTTCCCAAGGAGATGGGCAATAGCGCCGTTCCTTGCCGAGGAAGTTACAGGGAGCTCGGCCAGTCCAAAACGCCCATGGTTAAGAAGTACGGGGCCTCCAGCGTCATCGCCAGGAGTTTCTACCATAAATCAAACTTCACTAAACAAAAAAAAATCCACCCGGGGGAAAAAACCTACAGCTGTTTGAATTGCGGGCGGCGATTCAGTCGCAGGTCGAATCTTAAACGCCACGAGGGGATCCACACGGGGGAGAGACCCCACGAGTGCTTGGAGTGTGGGAAGAAGTTCACTCGGAAGTCTTACCTCCTTAAACACAGCACTGTTCACATGTATGGAGGATCGACATAGCGGTTGGGGAGAAAAGTGGTTGCGGATAGAAAAATCGATACTGTGTGGCGAAAACGAGTCAAAAAGGGGGATTTGATTCTCCTTCAGATCTTTATTGTTCTCAGGGAGCATCTATTGCCGGCTACGTTGGGAATCCTGGGAAATACTAAGGTCTTGGGAAAATGTTAATTTGGGATACACAATATGGAGGGTCCCTCCAGAGTGTCATAAATTTGGGGGGAGGGGGAGCTCATCGTTCACAAGAGGGAGGGAGAGATTACACAAATCTTGATTAGATGCCAGTCTGTTTCCACCTCATTCCTTCTTGAGTTACAGGATGCCGTAACTCGGTTCCAAGACCATTATTATTTGGGATTTTGCTATTTGTTTTTTTGGGGGGGCTATTTCGCCTGTTAAAACAGGAGTGAAGACGTATATGCCAAAGCTTAAATCTGAACGTCTTATTTGGAAGGCTGAAAAGTTTCTATATAACAGCACAGAAGATCTTAAATATAACTGTGAGACAAGTAATAAGCTTTGAATTCCATCAGCAGACTAGTCCACGAGGAACAGCTGCCAGGCAGAGAAGCTGTTCCTTGGAGAATTAGAAACGCTCCAGCATCAAATCTGAGTGATCCAAATCCACTCGTATTAATCTGAGCAGATTGGTTACTTCCAACATGATAAGAGGGCAGTGGTGTCAAACTGGTGGCCTCCATGGGCTGGATGCCTTACGTGGAGTCCGTGCCCGCTCTGGCTCCGCAAAGGCAAAAAAATGTCACAATACGTCACGTGATGTCATCAAGTTTGACACCTATGATATAGGGAATGAAACTTCCCCTCCCCCGTCCCCCCAATAGCCATTTTACCTTTATAGTTTCTCCTTGGTGGTTTGATCTATTTCAATGTTTCTGAACCTTGGCAAATTTAACACATGTGGGTGGCAAACATCTTAAAGTGGCCGACATCCAGAAATGCCGGTTTATTCGATTCAATTGATACGATCACCTTCCTTTCCCCAAGTGAATGGCTCATAGTGTTAAAAACACAATAATATGCCCCCCCCCCCCCCCCCCCCCAAAAATCCAGGTCAGGAAAACATGACCGAAGAAAACGCATCGAAACTTCTGTGGCGCCAGGAGCAAACTTCACCAGAAGTATATTAATGCAGGGGTCCCCAACCACCGGTCCTCGGACCGGTACCAGTCCGTGGAACAAGTCCTACCGGGCCGCTGGTTTGCTGGGCACCGCCATCTTTTTTTGATGAAAAAGTGCTTCCGGTGAGCTTTTCCGGGTAGAAAGCTCACCGGAAGCACTTTTTCATCAAAAAAAGATGGCGGCGCCCAGCTAATGCCGCTACCGGGCCGCGTCATAAAAAAGGTTGGGGATCACTGTATTAATGCATCTGAAGAGCTCCAGGGCTGTTTTGTTCAATATGTGAGGGAAAAACCAGGTTTTTTTGGGGTGTCCTAAAGGCTGTGGCAGAGCTGGGAATCACGTGGTTGTCAAAAATCAAGATGCTGATTTGGGAAAAATGCTCCTTCGCAGAAGAGCCTCCTTGAAGAAGAAAATCCAGCTAGAACTTTTTGATGAATGGTGGTTCTTCATCCCCTGTCTGTTTGCGGAGCTCCTTAATTTGAGACGCTTGCAAGGACGCCCAACTGGGTCTTCATGGATCAATGTCCAGCTCTAATTCTCAATCCAGCCCCTCTCCCCTCTTCCTACTATTCCTGCCAGCCCTTTCAAAGCAGCGTTTTTCACCTTTGCCTCATTTTAAAATGAGTGGACTTCGACTCCCAGAATTCCTCTGCCAGCGTGGTTGAATTGGGGAATCCTGGGAACGGAAGTCCACGGATCTTTAAATTCGCCAAACTTGAGAAACGCTGCTTCAGAGAAAAAGCTCCCAGCTGTCCTCTGCCTTTCTCCATCTCTGTTCAGAGCCTGCTAGATGTAAATCCATGTTTCTCTTTTTGTTTTTCCCCCATGCACACACATTAAACGAAAAGCTTGCGGTCTAATCGTAGTTGTTTTGAGTAATTATCGCCCCTCTTTAAAGAAGTTATTCTCCTTTTATTTGCTGGAAATAAACCTGGGCAGGTAGTACACCTGAGTTTTTTTTTTTCTCCTGTTCCTGGTGGGGGTTCACGTAAGGGTATAAAAAAGGTTGCATGATTACCAGGGTGAAGTCAAAAAAACCAGGGAATTTTTGAGCTTGTCTTCTGTTCCCATAGCTACTGTGGGCCCTTTTGAAGTCTTGAAAAAAAGACAGTGAATGTAAAGATGCCTTGAGTGGAATTGGGATGAATAAAGTTCTCTAAACAACCGTGCCATTTTTTTTTCACTTGAGTTAATAATCACTTGCTATCAAGATTGCCTGTTCTAATGGATCGCCCAGCTTAACCGAAAGATTAACTTAATCTTACAGTCAAACAGTTAAAAAGAAGAAATTCTTGTCCATAGATCTCTCTTGTGGGAATCCAGCCATTGTTTAACTGCATTGTAGCAACTGGGCCATTATCTTAAATCAGGGTCAACTTTAACCTATGTGGACTTCAACTCCCGGAATTCCCCAGCCAAGCTATGTTGGCTTGGCTGGGGAATTCTGGGAGTTGAAGTCCACATAACTTAAAAATTGCCAAGGTTAACGCTGCCTTAAAACAATAGGCATAGCATGCTATATGAACACAAGTGGTTTGTTACTGAAGATCGAAGATTATATGTAATGTCTGAATGTAGCCATTGGGAAAGCTGACAGTGGAAAGAGAAAGGAACAACAGGAGTATCTTAAGCCATTACCATTTAGCAGAGTGATCTGCAACACAAATTTGTAGTGTAGCAATTCAAAACTGGCCAAGCTTAAATGTCAGTATTCCAGCAGTTACCCCCATTTAAATCATGAGCCTCGAGCCAAATTTCCAAAACTTCAAAAGGATTTATTGGGAGTTAATATGTCCAGCACTGCCTGGGTGTAGCCGACTCTGAGACACATCATTCATTGCCACCTTTGACCCTGGTTTTCCCCCACCCCGAATGTATCGTAATTCATATTCTCCAATGGGACACATCCATAGCCCAGAGTCATCAATCATGCTTTCCAGTTAGACTTTTGCACGACAGAAACTTGTCACCTAGTTACGATCTTGGAAAACTATGGAATGCAATTTGGGTTTCCAAGCTGCCGCACTGCTCTTTTCCCCTTCCCTTTCTGTTGGCAACACTAAAAGGACCATAGAAATATTTTATGAGTTGATGCTAGCCTCGTGTTCCCGCGGGCCATGTGGGTAGCGGAGCCTTGTGTTCCCGCACAGCCTGGATTAATTGCTTTGGGGGTGACATTTCTCTGCGGACCACCATTTTCTCACGGACCACCAGTGGTCCCCGACCCACTGGTTGGCAACCATTGGGCTAAATCATATGAATGTCACCTTATTCGTGATCCGTGGAGCATGGATTTTGTTCCCTAGTTGGGTAATGAAACATCTGCACGAAAACAGCCAAGTTCAAAAGGGCACCAAGCTCGGCTCTTACAAATGTTATCAGTATCTGGTTCATAGGTACCTTTTGGGAGGATCGGTTGTCATTTCCAATGGTTGCTAAGCAACGGGTCATAAGGCCTACTTTAGAGGCCTATAGAATTGCAGAACTGGGATATATAACAACCCAAAGACAACTGGAATTCTTCCACTCCTCCATGAACAAGACAAACCAACCAGGGGTAAGTCAATTCAAGCGATGGGAACCGAGTCAGAAAAAGAGAGCTAAAAGTCAGGGCCATCTCTGGCCATCTTCCAGTAGGCCAGCACGGAAGGCTCACTAGAGGAAAACTCAAATACAGGTTAACAACAACCCGTTTAGCGACCGTTCAAAGTCACAACCACCCTGAAAAAAGTGACATGACCGTTTTTTCACATATACAACCATTGCAGCATTCCCACGGTCACCTGAAATCTGGACGCTCGGCAACCGGTTCGTATTTATGACTCTTGTTGTGTCCCGAGGTCACATGATCCCCTTTTGCGACCGCATGACTAGCCAAGTCAATGGGGGAAGCCAAATTCACTTCACAACCGCGTTGCTAACTTAACAACTGCGGTGATTCGCTTAACAATGGTGGCAAGAAAGGTAGCAAAATGGGCAAAACTCAGCTGTCTCGCTTAGCGACAGAAATTTTGGGCTCAATGACGGTCATAAATTGAGGACTACCCGTATTCTTTTTTTTTCTTTTCTTCCACCAAGAACTTGCAAAGATCTTGGTTTCCTGTGGCCGAGAAAACCCAGGGTCACTGGTAGGGGAAGCATGGGACTCCGTTGGCTATTCCCCCTCTTCAGTCCCAGAATCAGTGTGGGGTAGTGGAGAAGATGCTGGGCTGTGAGTAGGAGACACCAACCCTCATAAACTTGAACTTGGATGTCCACATTCCTAGTCTAAGATAATAATCCACAGCACATTGTCAGTGGTGGGATTCAAAATATTTTACTATCGGTTCTGTGGGCATGGCTTGGCTTGGTGGGCATGGCAGAGGAAGGATACTGCAAAATCCCCATTCCCTCCCCACCCCACTAACCTGCTTTCCAGCTCCGTTCTCCTGTGCGGGGGAACAAAAGGTGTCAAGCCCGAAATTGAACTTAGGTGCAGTCATTTTAGTTAGGATTAGTATATATTCTTTTTCGTACTTTCTCTGTGGCAGTCGGGGGGGAAGGGTTTCGGGCTTGCCGGGGGGAGGAGTGGAGATAAGAGTTGTTTAGGCTAGGTGATTCTTCTTCCCGTGGGAAAATGAGCTGTCCGTGCTTAGGTCCCTTGAGGTGGAGATTTATGACATCAAGCAACGTTGAATTGCTTCTATTGGTGAATGTGACTTTTGGGGGGTTGTTTCTAACTTTTAATATTGTGGGGCAATTCTGGGTTGGGTCAGATCTGGAATTACTGTGGACTTTGGCAATTTGATGCTTTCCTAAATAAAATAAATTGCTTTGGAAGATGGACTTTGTTCTTTTCTTTTTAAATGGATTTCATCACTTGGAAACTTGACATTATTCCGGAAACCTGACAGAGGACCCAGCCAATCAGCTGGAACTCGGGAGGCATAGAATAGATGGGGGCGGGGCCAGTCAGAGGTGGTATTTGCTGGTTCTCCAAACTACTCAAAATTCCCACTACCAGTTCTCCAGAACCGGTCAGAATCGGCTGAATACCACCTCTGCACATCGTCCACAAATTGGCAGTTGTGTCCACAAGAGCAAACCCAGCACACTTCAGACCGCATTCAAAGGCTGCCATCTTAATTTTTTTTTTGAGAGCCTCCTCCTCCTCCCCCAAGCCTAATGACCCACTGCGCCATACCCATAAAAATTTCATTTGTGATGTTCAGTTGTTTATAATCAGCAGTCTCCAACTTTTGTCACTTGGTGGCCCAGCGAGGGAAGAGGGGAACAAAGCAGTGATCCTTTGCACACGCATGCGTGTAGTTCAACTTGCACAATCGGTGGGCCAGAGCACAAGTGCATGTGTGTGCACAAGTTGAGCTGTGTGCACCTACGTACGGGCACATTTGCGCAAGTTACGTGTGTGCTTAACACTCGCGTGGCCTGGTTGCAAATACGCCTTGACCTGGTAGTGGGCCCCGGGGGTTGAGGGACCCCTGATTTATATTAAATTGCTTATTTTGATGGTAGACTTCAGTTGTGATTTATTCTGCCTATGGTAAACTACTAGTTGTTCTTCTGAGCTGTGTGGTTCAGTATAAAAGCACTTGAAATCCACAGATAAAACAATTCAGAGGAATTGTCTCATTGTAAATGAGCTTTACTTCCAGATATTTTTTTCTATAATCTACCACCATGATGGCGAACCTTGTGCAAGCACACGAGCCCTAGCCAAATTTACCTGCACTGTGCATGTGCGCGCCTCCCAGCTGATTTTCGGCCCGTTTGAGGCCTTTTTCGCCCTCACAGAGGCTCGAGAGCCTCTGTGAGCCTCAGGAGGCTGAAAAATGGGCCTTCTGAAAATACCGGAAGTGCCAAACAACGGGCCCATTTTCAGCCTCACAAGGCTGCAGAGGC